CGCCCGTAATACCAGGTGGTCCAGAACTCAAAACGGCAAGCACTGCGCGCCGCAAAAAAAAAAAAGGTGGCCGTGGTCTAAACCGCATGTGCCGCGTGCCCCCCAAAAAATAAAGATGTCCTTCCGGCGCAAACCGCAAGCAGTGCAACTCCAATAGTCACTGCCGCGTGCACTCACTCCGCGATATCTTCATGCTGGCTGTCCACGCACCACTGCACAGTCCCAAATATGCACCAGTGCCACAAAACATATAACGGCAGACCATCACTCGCCACGCCATCAATCGGTACCATGGCTGCCCCGCAGCACCACTGCAAGATCACACACAAAAAAAAATGGCTCCACTGTAACGCAGCGTTTTCCCTCACAATAGTATTGTCGACGTGCCGCCAACTAGACAACATAACCTCAATGAAAGTGTTGCTGCCGCCGCCAATTTCGGCAGCATGATCCCATCGGATACACTGTCGTTGCCGCACTGTTTATCGAGCAGCACCTCCCTACACTCACATTAAAAAAAAATGTCGGCATCGTGCGGCAACCTCGACAGCACCTTCCCTTAAAACAAAACCGCCGCCGAATCAAAATTTCGGCACCATTACCCTTGGAAAATGCCGCAATTACTGCGCCGTCAGACGGAGCATCTCCCTATGGACACAAAAGTTGACGCTGCGCGGTAAATCCAGCAGCATATCCCCAACGCGTGCCGTTCACCGCACAACCTAACTCCCAACGCAGCCTACTAGTCGCGGCACCACGCAGAGGTGGGGCAGTGAGCTCCCAACCTCGGCTATGGCTGCCTCTCTTCTCCTCTTCCAATTCTCTGCATACCTCCATTCTCCTCCACCAGCAGCACTTCCTCCTCTCCAGCAGCACCGCCCCACAGTAGCGGCCAACCAGCATTCACTCGGTGAATGGCCCAGCAGCACTGCCACAAGTGTGAGGCCGCTGGTTAGAGTGCTGGCTTTTATAGTCAGCTGATGGTTGTGAGCAGCTGCTTTGCCCACAGCCAGGTAAAAAGTTCGTCTTTGCTCCTGGCCCTTGATCCAGATCAACGGCCAGGAGCCCGGTGCCTTGGTTTTCCGCTAGGGAAACCAAGGCCATCAATTCTCGACAGGCCACATGCTCCACGAAATGGCTGTATCCAGCCAGACTGCAGCCTGCTCAAAAACGAACAGGCACAGTCTTATCACCACCTAGAACCTTCTACCCCTGCACCTAATCCACGGTCGCGGCCACGTACGTGGCCGTTACTTTTCTTTCCCCCCCCCCTTTTTTTTTTTTTTATGCGTCATCTTTCTGCAGGGGCCATACAGATCTTCACGCGGCTGATTGCAGCCGCGCGATCCTGATGATCGCGCTGCCGAAATCAGTCGCGGTCGACCGCTTGGGCTGCTCCAAAAGGAGCTAGCCTAGTGGGGCATTCCGGCTTCGATCCCTGCATCTGTCGCATATCAGGCTGGTCTGCTACCAACTGGGCTAGCTCCTATCTCACATAGATATAGGAGCAGCCCTTCTATATGAAGGGTTATGGCACCCAGCAGGCCACCCTCCAGCGGCCCTGCTAGGCCCGCCTGTTCCAGCGGTTGGCTGGTTTGCCGGTGGCCCACAGCCTCAACAGCTTCCCCACTCAGCAGGCCACAACACCATTCCCTCCGTTCCTCGGCGTGAAAGCCCCGAGGACCCAAAGAAAAATTCAAAAACTTCATATTTCCTCCGCGCCGCAGTTCCAACCTCCGTTGCATCGATCCCTTTTCAACGTACTTAGGCCCTGAATCCGTAGTTCCAATCTCGAAGAGCTCCGCCACAGTCTTTTAGGTAGAATAGTCTAGTTTCAGTTTTTCCACGACAACGTACCGCTGCGGCCTTGTCGGAACCGCAGACGACAGGTCGTACCGCCGACTCCCGCCGTTTCAATCGGACGTCAACGACTTCAGGTTGTAAAAAAGTTTAAGTCTCTCAGTCACAGGGTTGGTCTGAATAAACTTTGGCAACGTCATTCTCAACAAGTCTCCCAATCCAACAACAAAAAAAAACGGTCAGTATCTGCCCTAAAAAAAACTCGGGCAGGAACCTTCCCAAGGGTTTCCGTCCCGACATCGCATCAAAGAAGAAGGCAGAGGATGCCGAGAAGGCACGTCTGTTGGCACTTGAACAGCAGTGCCAGCAAGACGAGGCAGCAGCAAAGGCTGCCAATGAAGAACGACTTCAACAACGCGAGAAGATATTGAGCGGAGAGCAAGCCTTGCTCGCAATGACAACGGACTGGCGGGCCGAGGCCGAGAATGGGAAGATGGAACAGAGCGAAAAGAAGATCGCTCTACTTCTCTCCCATCTCCGGACCTCTCGGCCATGTGCATTGCACAACAGGAGGACATCCACAACCTCGACGATGCGGTTCAGACGCACAATCAGGCGTTTGACCAAGTCAACAGCCGCCTCCAGCAGTTGGAACAAATTGTCGTCACCCCCATTGCCAACTCTTCCAACACCTCCGATCGCCTCGAGGCATTGGAGATTGACGTCGGATCCCTCAAGGACGGCATGCAGTTACAGCAAACCGCAACGCAACAGTTGGAGCAGCGGATCTGTACTGCCGCCACCCACTTGAGCTCGGAACCGCGCTAGACAACTCCAAGGTTCGATGATCAGGAGATCTTCTGCGACTCGACGAAGAGGGACCCGATTCCATCGAGCTCCAGTTGCAGCTGCACCACGTCAGCGAACACAAGCACCACGCGTACTTATACTCCTGGTCGGGGGGCATGTGCCAAGCATGGTTGGACAATCTCTTGTCCAAGTACGGAGTGGTGGCTGCCGACTTGCACACCAAGATCAGTTGGGATAATCTAAAGGCAGCGTGGCATAAGCGGTTCCAAGTAGAGCCGCCGGAGATCAAGGCAATGGACAAGTTGATGGTCTTCGAACAAGGCACGCTGCGGAGTGTTGACTAGATTGTCGAGTACCAACGCTTGACATCTGTCCCAGATATTCAAATGGGCTTCAAGGCCATCAAACACTACATCTCGAGGTCGTGTCCGGGGGTAGCCACTTCCATTGATATGATGAGCAAGGCTGGCCTCACGCTACTTCCATCGATATGATGAGCAAAATCAAGTGAATCTCCCAAACTCTCTCTCTCTCTCTCTCTCTCTCTCTCTCTCTCTCTCTCTCTCTCTTTCTCTCTCGTGCGTCCTCCCTTTCACACCGCTTAAAAACAACAAATGATTGATCCTCCTCCTGCTCCCCCTCCTGTTGCTCCTCCCGCTCTTCCTCCTCCCGCCCCTGGTCCTCCTCCCGCTCCCGCTCCTGCTACACGTGTGTGTGTGTGTGTGTGTGTGTGTGTGTCACAGAGAGAGAGAGAGAGAGAGAGAGAGAGAAGGTACTTCCATTGATAGGATGAGCAAAATCCAACGAATCTACAGCTAAAACATGGAATATACACTGCCGGTAGTAGTGTATATTTCAATTTTCTTTTTTTTTATATAAAATTTGGATAATTTCTCGATTTATGCGTGTCATCCTTGAAAGTGCAGGGGCGATGCTAATCTTCTCTGTATCGTTCCAATTTTGACGGATGTCTCGAAGGAAGTATCGTGAGCCCAACGTAATCTTCTCTGTATATTTGGATTTTCTAGCGGAAGATTCATTCGATTTTGCTCATCCTATCGATGGAAGTAGGGTGAGCCCAGTCGCAGGGTTGGAGATTTACCTATTGGCTGGTGCATTGCTCATCCTATCGATGGAAATCTCTCTCTCTCTCTCTCTCTCTCTCTCTCTCTCTCTCTCTCTCTCTCTCTCTCT